CAGGGGGGGGGGGGGCTCATTTACAAGTATCTCCTTGCTTGAAATAAATTATTTTCCTGGGGGAAAAGTCGATCTATGAAAATACAGCATTCAGGATAAGCTGCAGGTGAAATGGTCACCTCCGTAGTGTTCAGGCCACCGCGATGTCCACGTTGCTTCGGACAGGAGTGAGTTCTCCTTCTGGACATTGCTGCCGTGTTGCAGCAGTGCTTGCAGCCTTGCGGTCCCTCTCCCAGCTCTTGCCTGCCCTGCAGCACCTTAACGCTCCCCCGGGCCCCATCCTGCATCGGTGCCAGGTCCCCTTGGAGCTGACACGGGGGCTCGATGGTCACGGGTGGCTTGTGAGCAGCGAGAAGCCATTTCATCCCTCCGCTACAGCTGTTCCCTTTGGGAGTCCTTTACACTTGGTTTTGCCTAAGCACGGTCTCAGAACAGACCATGCCAATCATATATTTTATTTTTTTAATACACTGTGTTATGGAAGACGTTTTGTGGCTTCTGATACTCTGTGTTATGTGTTTCTACTAAAAATTGCAGCACCAGCAGCTGGTAGGGTTTCCCCGGTGGTATCTCTTGCAAGTGAAGTGTACTAACTGCCTTCTCCTAATCTCAATTTTGAAAAATTTGCAGCTTTGGGGTGTTGGTGGATTTTTTTTTTTTTTAATTTTTTTTTTTTTGGTATTGACTGCTACAATTTAAGCTTTTGGCCACGAGTGAAGGGTCTGCGGCACGACGGGCAGAGTTCAGCCGCCGCCAGAGCGCTGCGAAGACTGTGCCTGTTGCTTTCTTTCGCCCAACTCAAACAGCTCCATCTCCCCAACCCCAAACAGAGCTTTTTCATTGCTTCTAACCCCCTTTTTCCTGGTCGTGCAATACTTGGCTCTGGCACCCAGCCCCTTCTCCAGCCCATTCCCTCTCCACTGCCCTTCCCACCGCTTCTGTTGCAGGTGCTCCAGCCCTCCCCTAGAAAAGGGCTGACCACAGCAGCTCACCCCTTTTTTTTTTTTTTTTTTAATCCATGCATTTGGCAGATCAGGTGTTTTTCCAGCAGGCCTCATACTCCCGAAACTGCTGCTTGATTTTACTGAAAGCCGTTTAACGCTCCGTGTTCAATAACCTGCGCTCTGTTTTCTTAACAAAAGGGCAAAACAGGAGGAAAAGCGTTAATGCTTAGCGAGCTTGTTCCTCAAGATGCTTTCCAGACCCGTTGTAGCTCCTCGTGGCTTTAGCTTCTTTGCCAACCCTCCCAGGACCAGCTCCTGCGCAGTGGTGGATAGCCAAGGTGGTCTTTCTCTCTACTCTAAACCAGGAGCAGCTGTAGGGCTCCTGGACCCGGGCAGGGCTTTACCCTGGAGTCCCCAGCAGACTTATTTGTGCTTTTTTTCTTTTTTTCTAACTAGCAGGCACTTATCTTGTGCTTTCATCTGGGATGGATACCCAAACTGATTTTTTTTTTTCCCCCCAGAACTGTGCCAAAAAGAGTAAATGTTGTTAATGAGGCATTTGGGGCTTTAGCCCTGCAGAGGGAGGGCCGTGTGTCCTGGGTAAGCTGCAGGGATGGGGGGGGACCCTTCTTTAGGGATGCATTTGCTCTCCCTTTTTCTGAAGTTGATGAGCTGAGTAACAGCTAAAAGCACAAAAATAGTGAAATTTCTGTGATGCTTTATCTGACTTTAATTTCCCCTTTCTAATGGGTGAGGCTTGCAGCTTTTTGGCATTGTCCAGCAAAGTTGTTGTTTGGCTTATGTCTATTTTATGCAAAAGCTTTGTTTTCAACAAACTCTGGTTTGCTTGCAAGGGAAAGCTGGTTTTAAACAAGTTGAAGAGAGCTGGCTTGCCTTGAAGTCCCTGCATTTATGCTGTAAACTGGCATCACAGAATAGAAATCTGGCTTTTTCCAGATGAAGAATTTTAGCAGGAGTTTCTTGTTTGGTCCAACATAAAGTAAATTCTCAGCTTTATTTAAAGAGCTGTCATCTCATCTTTATTTCAGAAGTCTAAAACCTCCTGTGGTAGCTCCTGGAGGGATGAGATGAGGGGGGAAAAAATGATAATGGGGGTATTCTGGGACCAAAGGTAATTCCTGGTAGGATGAAAGAGAATTAGCTGTGAAGAGAATAAACCAAATTGGGAAAACTTTTTCTTAAACATTAATTGCATTTTATACCTATGGATATTTAGGCTGGCAGAGGGAAAAGAAAGAACACCACCCCCACACCCCCTAATTTAAAGACGCTAAATTAAAGAACTCAAACAGTCTTGCAACTTAAAAAAATCCCATATGGGGAAAACCTGTGAGATTACACCTCAGCTGTCATCTCTTTTGGTGTAGCTTGAGATGAACCGATGGCACGTCCCGCTCCTGGAGGAGACCCCACTCCGTGCCGATGGCAATTTATCCCAATTAATACAAGAGGAAAGAGGAGAGAGGACGCTCCCTTTGTGTGTTTGCAGTGTGAGCACGGTTGATGGAAGTCGGCAACGACTCTGCTGAGCGCAGCTTTGCTATGCGGCAGCCTAGGCGATCGCAGGTGTCATCTCCGTGTCTCTTCATTTATCCTGTCCTTTTACTAATAGGATCTAGATAAGACCCAAGAAGAAATAAAGAAGCATCACGCCAACATCAGTGAATTGAAGAAGAATTTTATGGAGTCCGTCCCGGAGCCTCGGCCGAGTGAATGGGACAAACGTTTGTCCACTCACTCCCCTTTCCGAACCCTCAACGTCAACGGGCAGATTCCCGTGGGAGCGGATGGAGTGAGTACCTCGGCGGCGTGCGGGTGTCAGTGCACTGCCTTGTTCCAAGGGACAGCTTTGCAACCTAGGATTCAGCCTCAGCTCCCTGTAGTTATTGAATTTTAATAGTTAATATTCTCTAACATGGGTAACAGCCTCCAAGAGAATCGATGCTTTAGTCGTAGTATCATAAAAATGTAATTTTGGGTTGTTTTTTTTTGTTGGTGGAAAAGAAAAATGTAGGAATCCTTCACCTGGTTTTGGTGCTCCTTTTCCTAGTGTTGCTGTCAGCCGTGATGCTAGGCTTTATTTCACATGGCTGTTTTGGGGACTGACTTATTCCTGGTGGCAGGGAATGCACCTCCCCAAAATGTGGGGGGAAAAAAAAAAACCCACCCCAAAACCCAAACACCTAAGTTAAAGGGAATTACTACTTCAGAGATAATTTGGCAGATAACCCAGTGGAGAAGCACTAGGATGGTATCGATTTTCAAAAAAAGTCACTTTGTTGTCCAGTTAATCCAGTATGTCATTGGGTTTAGTCTTGCATTAGGATCTGCAGGTGCTGATCTGCTGTGGAGGCGTCAAGAAGACTCCTCAGGTGGCTACAACAGGGCTGTTCCTACGTGGTGGAAATCTTGCTCCTCACAGGAGCAGTGCCTGTATGTTAGTAGCCACATACATTCACAGTTTCACTGCTAATTTCCTTAAAAAAGGTAATTTTTCAAAGAAACCGAGTTGGAGCAGCAGAGATCTGCCTGCCAACAGGTTTCTTCTTGGATAACAGACAGCTTCTCTGTTTAATATTGGTGTTACCTCGCTCAGATTTGAAGCTTGTGAAAAAAATGTAGTTAGAGCCTGTGGTAGTCAGTCTCTTCAATATTAAAAGTGATTTTTCATTAGAACTGAAAAATTGCATCCTGGCTGCAGCGGTGGCAGCCGTAGAGGTTAAGGTTTAAGCCTAGCTTTTCAACCCTTGCTGCCCACAGCGCTGCAGATAAGCTTGCATTTCATCTTCAAACCACTGCAAGGGAGATACTTTTTAAACAAAAGTCATCTTGCAGTGAATGGAGGGGGTTTAGGACAGGTGTAAGGAGTTTTAATGGCCAAATTTACTACAGGCTCCTAGAGGCATAAAAGCCATGACAATGACAGGCCTTTTTTCCCCCCACTAGAAAAACAAAACCCCCAGAATGAACTAATGAGGGCTGATTGTTAAGCTTTGAATTACCCTGTTTAACACATGGGTGGGCTTTCCTCTGATTGCTGAGTCTTAGGGTAAATTCTGCAGGAATTTGGGCAGCAGAGCGATGCAGAGCTCTGCCCACGAGGCCACGTGGTTTATGGACGTGTGGGTGGGATAGAGCAGGGGCTTTCAAACTCAACAACCCCAGTTCAGGAATGACACTCTTAGTTCTTATGAAGAATTTCTTGCATGGTGACTTCACTGTGAGGTCTTGGGGGGCTCTTCACAATAACTGGGTGCTGTGGGCTTTTCCCATCTAAGGCTGCAGTGGTCCACAGCGATGCAAGGATTGGTGTCAGCCCTGGATTTGCATTCCTGGAAATTCCTTCTTAATCCGATCCTCTCTGAAGTGGTCTTGCTCTGAGGTGAAGGTGGACACGTTCTGCTGTGAACTTCCAGAAGTGCATCTCCACCTGGCACCTCCGGGGAGGGTGTTTTCCTTTACCTGCACGTGTTTAAGGATGGTAAATCACTTAAAGATGCAAAGCAATCCTGTTTCTCCTGTTCATGGTGGTATCTTCACCGTGCTGTAGTGGCCAAAGGGCATTTTGCCAGGGGCTGCTTTTCTGCTGTTCCTGTATGTTTTATTGCAAGACAACTGAACCTTTACACGCTTTGTGTGTCCAGGTCAAGAAAGTCACTGTCCTATCTTCTGAGAGACAGGTTGGTGGGCTTGAGGTAAAGCTGCTGTTCTGATATGTGCTTCTGAACCAGACTTTTGCTATTGCAATGGCACCAAGCAAAAACTCAACAGCAGCTGCTGGATAACATTCTTTCTTTTGGCTACATGAAGTAGTTCCATAACTCACACGGAGAGGACTTTTGCACTGCTGCAGCTTTTGCAGCTTTCAATTTTGCTTACTTTGGTGCATGGCTGGTTCGAAAAAAAGCTGCATGAAAGATATAACCGTGTATTCGGAGAGAAAAGCAATTATGAAAGTTTAACTATACCCTGTTCTTTTTATGTTGTCTTTCTTTCCGTTTTTTGTTTTAATGATCATGTTACTCTTGCATTTTATATTTTCTTTTGCTGCCCAGTCTCCCAGCTACTTTCTACCCGATACTCATCACTTAGGGGTGTGCAAAGAAGCAGTCCCAAAATACCGCACTGATCAAAGGAGACTAGCTCAACTCAGAGAGCTTAGAGCCAGGTTTTTCCTCTCCTAGGTGCACTTGGGTTTGACCAGGTCAGGCAAATGAAAGGGATGGAGAGTTACTAAACAGCAATGTTTTCCACGATCTTTTTCTTTCTTGAACAGAAGTGCTAGAGCCCTTGCATGATCCTGTGTGGTGATTTACTCATTCTGGTTTTTTTACATTCTTTAGACTCCAGAAACAAAAGTGCTAAAATGCAGAGGAAAATCTAAGGAGTTTGCAATGCTCCTACTGCCATCCTGCCTGTTCCACACACAGGATTTCTAAGATTAACAATTTTTCACTTGTTCGGGTAGAATTTTCAAAACAATCGAAATTTTGATACTGTTGTCAGAACTTTGAAAAAGCATTTTGTATCTGCACTGCAGTCTGGGTGTTCAACGATATTTAACAAACTCTATTTTTTAAGGGCACTGTAGAATAGGAAGCTGCCAGAGACCACGTTTTGTACTACGTCATTTCTATTTCTAATGCCTCAAAACTTTTTTCTCAACCATTCCAATTCCAAAACACTTCAGTAGGGTTTGAGCATACACTTTTCTGGGAGGGCAGGTGCAAAGCACGTGTGATCATGATCCAGAGGTTTGTGACAAAACGCACGTGGTCCTGATCCAGACGTTCATGAGCTCCGCAGAGGGAACTAGATTTTGTAGCTCTAAGGCTGGTACAACCCAAGCCACCAGCGGCTCTGCTCTCCAGGGCGGTTTATTTTTTACGTTGAGAAGAAGGCTGTCCTAATGCTTTACACACCTCCAAGTATCATTTTGGGCACTTTCCATCTGTCATTTTTGTTCATCTCTCTCTGTCTTTCTTGATCTTCTACCACGAAAGCAGACACAGGAACGTCCTCTGTTAGTACAGGATGAAGAGAAACTAAAAAAGCAGGCGATACCTACTGAGACAGCCTTTCCCCGGCAAGCAAGTGGAGAAACTCTTCCAAAGGTTTCTATTCCAATTCCTGAAGAGCAGAAATCACTCAAAAAGTGTCAGCTCTACTCTAGCATTTTTCCTTCTCCACGTATTCCCTTTATGATGTCCTTTCTCCTGGTCGTAGCACTGACTGTTTGGTGGCTGCTCTTTCTCTGAGTGGCAACAGGGTCATGTTGAAACCTCAAGACCAAAGCTCCTGAATTTCTTGGCCGTAGCCTCTGCTGCATCTTCCTTGTCCTGGTCTTTGATCTCTGTAGTTCACTGTCCCAGGGAGGGACAGCCTGCGACCGTCGTGTTAATCCTGCTGTGTGTCGTTGTGTAGCTGTGATCCGGGACCTGGCAGGAGTGGTCATGGATTGCCAGGTCCATTCTGAAGTTTCCTAGTGTGCAAAAGCAAATTCTCTGAACCGTGCTCCTGATTGCTGTGAGAGGGCAGACAGGGAGTGTAACTATATGGGAGGAGACGTTTGCTTCTTCAGCTCCTGTAGATGCCACATAGGAATTGCTGAAGACTTGCTTTTAAGCTTGTTTTAAATGTAAGATGTTCACAAGCTGAAGAACATTTGATCCTGATCCAAAAGAGGCTTTACAGTAATCTGCTGAATCTAATCCATAACCACTCCTTTTCTAGGAAACTAAGATTGGCATTTAAATAAAAAGTGTTGATTATCAATGCTGCTGTTAGTGTTAACTTAGAGACAGGGACGGGCAACTTTTCATTTTCCCAGTGGGCGAAGCCTTTTGCAAAACATCGCAGCTTCCTTCTCGCACCCCTGTTCTTGTTCCCAAGAAAATACATTGTGTTACAGGACAAAACCCTTTGCAAGGAAGTGTTTATTGTAAACATAGATTAATCATTTTTCTGAATCTGGTGGTCTTGGTGCACTTCAGATGTGTTTTATTTAATTTGTGTTGAACTAACTGACGCATGTTTGCTTAGGTCACAGGAATGGAGTAACCTGCTGTTAGGTATGTCTCCTCTGTTAGCATGTTGACTTTACCACATCAGGACACACTTCTAATGTTAAAGCCATCGATTGTTTTGACTTCTCTAACAAAACCCTTGCATGCTGCCCTTGTTTATTGCCTACAAATGTAAATGTCTGGATGATGCTCACATTTATCCGAGTTACCCTGGTTGAGCTGTGTAGGCTCCAAGATGAGTTGCCCAGCTGGGCTGAGCAGAACTGGTTTGCGAGCTGGAGGGAAGATGGGACTTTGTGTCTAAGGGGTTTCTTTTCTGTATATACTGCTTACGGGACTGAACTGAGCCAACTGCTTCTCCTTTCGGTAGTAATCTGCTTTCTGTTGCTTTCTCTGGAGGATTGGTGTAGACACAATTACTTCTGAGAACAGCCACCAGTACCATCAGTGTTGGCAGCTGCTCCAGCAGCACAGAAGAGAAAGGAGTAGACCTTTATTACAGGGACTAAAATGTGTGAATATATATAAATATATGTATTTATATCCCTTTATAGATCTGTATCTGTGTGAACAGTGTTATTTAGGAAGCTAGCAGATAAGCTTGCAGGAAAAAGACATAAGGCAAATATGGCATGTGCTGTCTGATCTGAAAGATCGTGGCGTATCACGGACCACTTGAGCCTCCTCTCTCTTGCTCCCAGTGTACAGGTTGAGGCTTTCTAAATGCTGTCTCAGAAACTTAGGTCGCTAGTGAAACCCTTTGTTTTAATCTCGTGGGAATCTTTCCAATTAACTCTCGTAACCTGCTCTGATTGAGTTCACCGGTTTGTGCCTTTAGGACTTTGTTTTGTGAGGATGCTGATTTTCCATTGGAAAGTATTCTTCCCTTTTTAATACACTGCCTTTAATACACAGTCTTCCTCTTTCAGCAGCTGAAGCGCAGAAGTCGCTGGGTGGTTGTAGGGATGTACCACGGTGCGAAGGAGAGCTGTGGGCAGCGCGACCTGCCTGCTGCCTGCGGGCAGTGCTGCTCGGCGGGCTGCCTGCCTGCGTCCTAGGAGCACGCCCTAGAAAGCACTTGAACTCTGGCGATCTTTGGCGTGAAGTTTAGGAAGACTGTCTTGAGAAAGGTGGGCCCTGGAGAGTGGGAGAGGTGGGGAAGGATGGTGAGGTGCAGGGTGGAAGAAGCCTGGGGAATGCTTCTGGCTGGGATTCCCCGCCTGAGTCTCCTTCCCAAAATTGGAACAGACATGATGAAAAACGGGGACTGTTTGTTCTCCCCAACTTGGCGTGGAGAGGGAAGGGACAGGAGTTGTTCAGATCTCTCTCCATTTTCTGTCCGTGTTTCCTGGAGAAGAGCAGCTTAAACACACACTTGTTTCCTTCCAAAAGCCATCGCTCGGGTTAGCTGCCGTGATGCTGCTTTGGGCACTGTTGAGGTCACTGCATCTTTCTGAGCTGATGACAAGTACTTTGAAGCCATACCAATGGCTTTTGCAAAGCTGTGGGTTCTGTAGCTCTTACCTACCATTTCCAAAGGACCTGAAGTTTAAAAATCTTTGCCCAGAGCAGTGTTTGAACATAGTGCTCAGGGTATCTTATCTCAGAGTGATGAGAGATGCACTCTGTCACTTAAACGCAATTCTTCAACTTCTTAATTAAAACGGTCTCTCTCTTGCTTTTCCTTTTTTAAAATCTTGAGATAAGGCTGGTTATCATCAGCAAAAAAACTTTGAAACTTTACATTCTGAGAATGCTCAGGAACATTTTTGGGATTTATATCACAATCGTCACTGCAAAGTATAAAGAAACTGAACAAATGCTTTATATTTCTATGGCAATTTAGAGGCCAGTTATCTGTACTCACCCATAGGATCTTTACTGACAGAGAAAGCCTGTAGCTTATCAAGAGCAGAATCCTCATTCCTCCGATGCTGCAGTGATGTGCCCGCTGTGCTACAGCTCCTTTGCCAGTTGTTCTTCTGCTTTTCCTGTTTGCTCGTAAGGCAAAGGGAGTTACAGACATGCTCCGTGGCAATCCACATAATGTCTCGTTCCTACACGTTATATATCTCGTTCCTGCACGTTATGTATCTCATACACGTCGGTGCTGTGCTGGTTGATTCCTGGTTTCACCCTTTTCCCTCGATGTCCGCGCGGGATGCGGTGCTGCGGGAAGGGATTTCAGGATGCCTGCTGTCAGACCCATGCACAGGGAGAGCTGATTCACTGCAGCTTTGGATAAGGGCAGAGGTCTCAGGGTTTTTGTAAAGGAACCAATGTGTGTACTTTGCTCCCTTTTTTTCCTCAGGAACAAACTCTCTGGAAAGCTCTGGCAGCCCTCCCACCCGCCTGCCCCAGCACCGCTGCGACCCCGAGCAGTGGTGGGGTAACGCACCCTGTTGGTACGTGGCTGGTGCAGGGCCAGGCTGTGAGGGATGGAGAACTGAGTGATCCCTCCCAGAGGGAAGCTGGAAATGTCTGCAGCACAGATCCTCACCCAGGTTGGCCTGGAAAATCCTGATTTTTCAATGTGACCTGCTGCAGAAAATGCCGCTTCAGTGACTCTGGCATGCCAGTGATGTAGTTATGATAAGACTGCCAGCAGTTTTGATGTTAGTTAGACTTTCCCAGTGTTTTGTGGTGTGACCGCTCAGCTGCAGAGAGGCTCTTTGGTGCTCACGTGTGGGATCCAGTTAGCAGCTGTCCAGGCTTCCGCATTTTCCATCATGAAATTTGTGGTTGGCTCTGCACCGACTTTCCAAATCTTCTTATGCTGATATCATCTCTTCTCAATGCCAGATAAAACTCAGAATAGTTTCTTGTGCTTTCATACTTTAGGAAAAGGTGGACATTAGTATATTGAAGGAGCAAGAGTGCCAGAGCTGATTACTTCAAACTCGGCTTCAGCTCTGAGGCTGCGTTAGGTATCAGGCTCTGGATGTGATGGTCGATGGTGATTCAAGATGTGCATCACTGTAAAACAACATCCCTCTTTTGCTTCTCCATTATTAGAAGGAAACAGGTAAATGAGGGCATTTTCTGCATCTCCTGCTGTGTGCTGCTTCGTGCTGTGGGTCGATAGAAGATAAACTGAGGACTCTCTGTGGGCAGGTCAGGTTTAGAATACGGAGTTAAGCTAAGACCAGCTCTCCTCCATTGCAGTTTGTGCAGTAACTAGTGATGACCTTAAAAAGTAGGAATTCAATATTTATTTCCTATCCTGAAATAGTGAGGAGAGGTGGATTTCCTTGGCATGGCACCGAAGGAGTAGTTGGTGTTTGCAGGAGCAAGGTTGGCCTGGCCTTGCTGTGTGTGTACCACGGGGCTCCTCGGGGAGGTTATGGCTAAAGTGTCTTTTCACTTCACATAAGGGTCAGTAATTTGTTACTCTGAGGTTTATTCCACTGGTTTATTGGGTTTTCTTTGTTTTCATGGTCATGAGTTGATGGCGCCTGTTCTGACTTAGAGACTGAGGTAGGATCCTTTCTGGAAAAATTTAGCCCAGGGAAGAGTTACTGATTCATTTAGAAACTCTTTGGTCTGCACTTACCAGTGGGTGACACTGGAGAACCCCACAGTGGTGGCCTCTCTTGTGTCCCTGTTTGCGTCTGTTCTGGATTGTGAAGCCGGAGGGAAGGACTAGCCTTTGTTTTGTACCGCTTTGGGATCTTGTGGTGGTACCTGGTCAGGTTGGATCAGTTTGTGGCAACTAAAACCACTTTCTTTTTTACCTAAAATACTCTCTTTTGGAACACTTTTTTTGGTTTTGTATTTTTTCTCAGATTTTTCTGTGTAAATATGTACATTTATCACTAATAAATGTTATTGCAAATCAGATTCTTCTTTCTGCTGCTTATTAACAACAAAAAAAGGTACATATGACTGGTGTTAACTGCTCCAGACTAACCCTCCGGTATCGCTCTCCCAAACCAAGTCATTACCTGGTGTTGGGTCTGCTGGACACTCTGCTGGGGGTTTTGTGCTCCTGGGGAGAGGGGACACGCGAAGCTGCAGCTGGAAGCAACGCATGCTCTCAAACTGGCCAGAATAATCGACTGACAATTAAATCCAGCTTGGTTTAAGAAAGGATTTGTTTGCAGAGGGGTCAAAACGTTCAGCTCTCCACCGAATACTTAATGTAACACTAACACCTTCTCCCTCTTCACTCCTGAGACTGAATGACAGGAAAACCAGCTTGCAGAAAGTTGTCCCCAGAGCTGCAGAGTTGCAGGTCCTGTGCAAGGCAACTGCAAGAGCCTCTGCTCTGCATGTTGCATTGATTTGAGGACAAAAATGCTCCTTCCTGTTTTTGTAATGAAGAAACCGTGTTCCTAATTACCCACAGCCTTTCTGCTTGGTAATACAGTGCAAGCCTCTGGTTGGGTTTTAGCTGGTTGAAGCTGCCTGAGGCTGTGTCTAGGGCTGTATCAAGAGCCAGTCTTAATTTTAACTCCCACCTTTTCTTCTGTGAGGTTATTTACTTCTGGGAAAACTGTTTGGCTCATTCTGCGCTGTCACGAGCGATCACGGGAAAGCAAATCTGGCTGCAGTGGAGCAGCAAGAGGCTTGTGCTGCTGCTCTCCTGGATGAGCCTGGCATCAGAGCAGAGCTGTAACTTTATTTATGAAATGCAGCAGCACAGACTTGATGTCAGTTATAAACCCTGACAGTATCGCCACCCTTTTCACTTGCTGCTGCTACTGTAAACCAGAGACAGTGTTTGTAATGCCACTAGCAGCTTTTTCTCTGCAGAGGGAATTTGGAATAAGAAGTCCCTCATCCAAGGGTACCTGCTGCACAAAAGGGATGAGAAGGGGGATCAGGGTGGATGGAGAGAGGAATCATTGCTCAGCAACTTTATTTTAATGCTTTAAGTATTGATCCTGAGGTGGTTTCATGTTGCCACGTAGTTGATGCAGTAGACTGGAGGTGGCTGCTGTGTATCATGTAATATCCTGGGATTCTTGTTCATGAGAACAATTTAATCTTTTCAAGTTTTGAGTATGATGTGTATTTTCTAGCCTTACTGTTTTTAACTTTGGTTAAATTCTCTTTCATCCTTCTTTTGTCTGAGTAGGCTGGTCAGGATGTTGTGATCAGATCAGTGGCAATTCAAAAATCCATCCAAAAATGGAGATCTGTAGGTAATGGCCACCATTTAAAAATGCCACGTTGTTTGAACAGCTTCTAAACTTCTTAACTTCTGTCTTTAAGGCAAAGAGGTTCTATAAGGTACAACAGGTATTGTAAAATAAGGATCTTTTGTTTTCTGCTTTGTAATACGTTTTACCCAAGTGCTTTGACAGCTGTGAGATTGAGCATCATTTGATCTGGGAGTTCTCACGGGTGAGTGTGGTTCACTGCAAAAGCAACATCATCTCCTTGTGCCTCTGTAGACGGTCACACCGAGCCTGTCAGCTCATGCAGATACTTGTTTGGGGATAACCTAATAACACGTGCCAGCGCTGTAGTGAACAAGAAGGAGACTGGGAAGTGCTAAGTGCCTGGAACTTAACCGCATTTATCGTGGTTGTTGTAAGGAGTTGGCATGCACCAACGTGTCTTTATCAATTTTTATCAGATGTCTTATGTAATTGGCAGGTGGACTTCATTTTAGCACTCCTTAAATTCCCTACAGAATAGGAGTCTGGTTTGGGACGAGGGTGCTTAAATATTTCTGGGGAGAGAGGCAGCAGCATGTCTGCATTGGCTGCAGAAAATGAGCATCTACTCTGGCAGCGCAGGGCAGCTGGGTCAGATGAATATATCCTGCTGCAAAATAGTAGGTTCTTGCAAAAGTACAGGCAAACAAACTTGTACAAAACCACTTTTTAAGAATAAATCCTTTTGGTCACTGATACCAGCCATGCAGTTAAGCCTGTTATTAATTTATCCCCAGTCTGAACTATTGTGTGTCACTTTTTTTACACTGTGATGCTTAAATTAAGCTTTATCCTCAGCATTTGTCAACATCAGGTGCACAGAGATTTGTATTTAACGGGGTTCATGTTTTACTCGCATTCACGTCTGGTTCGATTTGTTTCTTCTGGGGCTCTGCATCCTGCCCTGTATTTGCTTGTGTGAATAGTTTGCTTCGTGTTTGGTTTAGGCATCCCTGGTTTGGTTTTGTGTCTCTGGAAATGAGGAGTTTGCAGCCAAGGCACTCCCAGGTTTCGTGGGTCTCAAGGAGAGAGCTTGGAACTCTGCAAATCTGAGCCCTCAAAATAGGAATGCTGTTGCATTTAGAAATTAAAATAAATCTTGATAAGATCAGAATTGGTAAGATGTTCAAATTCCTAAGGGGTTTTTTTGTTGTGTATTTTTTTGGTTGGGTTTTTTTTTATAAAGATAATCTTCTCTATCCTATGTGCAAACTGCATTTTTAAATATAGGAGCAAACAGTTGTATTTTTTAATTTTTAAAAGTATGTGTAAATAGACAATTGTATATAGAAACAAATACCTCTCAATTAGTCTTATCTTCTTACCAGTGGAAGGCAAGAAAAAAAAGTACTTTTGACAGTTGATCTTATCAGGATTTCACTCTGCCTTTACAGCTTGCATGTTTATCGCCACGCTTGATGCTACTCCCCACCAGTATATGTACCCCATAATCTTCATCTGAGCTTTCCTCAAGATGCTTCCAAAATGCAAATCATTTTTCTGTATACAAAAGGGAGCTGGGAAGTTGTTCTGCCTGGATACAAATGTTTCTCTCTTAAATAGATCTGCCTTTGTGTAGCTGTTCATCTGCTTTGTTTTATCTGTGGGTTGCATTCTTCCTCTGGGTCAGAGTAGTGTCCCAGCTGGTATTTAAGGAAATTCTTGCTCCTAAGGCGTTTTCCATTAAACTCCAGAAGCTATACTGCATCTTCTTGAGATCCCGTGATTAATTTGCAAGATTTAGCATATATAATTAAGAAGAGATTGGTATATTGGCAGTATATAAATCCAGGTTTTAAAGCAAGATTAAGACATCAAAGCTGATAACCTCCGTTCCTATTTTGTTTTGTGAAATATTGTCGTATAGTATCTTGCACTAGGCAAATGGAGGGTGGGAGCTGGGTATACCCTTGGAGGAGCACATATGGAAGTGGTTTTTGATCAGGAGTATCATTTTCCTATACATGCAGAGTGACCTGATCATCACAGTGCTGATCACTGTCCCCT